GAGAGAGAGAGAGAGAGAGAGAGAGAGAGAGAGAGAGAGAGAGAGACTAACAGTCTGGCAGAGGAACTGAAAGGCACAGCCTTCGGAGGCTGTGATTTTCAGGACCAAGCAGTTCATCTTCTCAACTGGCCAACACACCCAGAGACTGAGAATCAATCTTAGGTGATGAGAACTGGGTATGCAGAGGTGCACATTCAGGAACCCCATAATGAAAGCATCTGTCCTGGTGGACCACATGCTGCCTCTGGATTATGGTCTTGCCCAGCCCAGGAGGTTCAGCTTTATGATGTGCTTCTCATCTTGGCCTCACCTGCACATTGGTCAAGACCACCTGTTTGGTGACATAGAGCTATACAAACAGTGCTTCTAACTCCCCCCCTCCTGCCCCGTGACTGTTACTACCATCAATATCATTGGCCACTTTGTGGGCCTCGATGACATGGAAAGGATGTGTGAAGTCAACAGTCCTTGAAGTTCAGACCATTGGTCAAGGAGACTCAGAATTGAGACAAAAGATGAACTATTAGTACAAATAAGACAGGCCAAGGAAGCACTGAGGATGGTTATAGGCTTAGAGTTATCACAAGGAGGGACCATAGATAGACAAGGAGACACCAGGGAGCCTTAAGAAGCCCAGCTGACAGGTATAGACATGGATGGGATAGGGACAGACATATGTAGATAGATATAGACATATACAGATGATAAAGATATGGACTAGATAGATATAGATACAGAGATGAGAGAGAGAGAGAGAGAGAGAGAGAGAGAGAGAGAGAGAGAGAGAGAGAGAGAGAGAGAATAGATATCCTCCCTAATAATTGTCTTTTGTTTTCCTTTGGAATATAGTCTGCCTCAAGAATCAAGGCACTCTTGGGACAAGACTCTGGGAAATGTCTGTCATAACCAGGAGCCACACCAAGGGACAGACGCAGCTTTTGCAGAGGTGGGGATTACTCTGTGTGGCAGGACATTGGTGTCACTCTGTGCTTTTCTTTGGCTCCTCTTCTGCCCAGCACAGAATGGCCTCAGGTCACATCATTCCCTTTCTTTCGTGTTGGTTATTGTCAGCTCTACTATATTCTTCAAAGGGGGGAAACAAGTTTCCTGTGTGTGTGTCTGTCTGTCTGTCTGTGTGTCTGTCTGTCTGTCTGTCTGTATGGCATAGTGTACATTAGATATATACAGCAAAAATTACACAGCAATATAACCAGACAGCATGTTATATAGAGTGGATGAAAGGTACCAAGTATTTCTAAGTTTCCATTTTGAGTGCATCCATCCACTCCCACACTCATGGGGACCCTCTGTACTAGCACAGCATAGAATCTATGTGTTCAAATACTGTTTGGTTCATGCAGCTGATTTGATGGGTTTTTTTATTCTCCTTTTTTCTGTATCTCTGTTTCTCATTCCTTGAGTGAACATATAATGACAGTGTATAAAAAAGGGGGACAGCTTCGAAGCTGGCTTTCTTGACCTGGATTGAATTCTGCACCCAGCCCCAGTCCCCACCTCTCCCGGAGCTTCTGCCATTCAGCAGGGGCCTCTTCTGTGAGACCCAACCTTTAGTCTTCTGCTGTCCTACCAGAGTCTTAGCTTCCAGCTCCATTATTCTCCACCGATCTTGGCATCTATTCAGGGCTCATATGATGCCCCCTCCCCTCTTAGGCTCTAGGAACTCCCAGAACTGGGGTTGGACAGCTACGAAGAGCCCCATGTTCTCACAGAGGCAATGGAGAGGCAGCAAAGGTACTAAGTGGAATTTCTGCTCAATGAATTGATGCTCATACTAAATGAGGCCTTTTCTCCAAGACTCAAAATCTGTCTGCTCATTTCAAGACACAGAATTATTCATTTAAGAAATCCTCCTCATCAACATGAAGCAGGTGGGGGCTTGCTAATTGTTAACCCCATTTTGCAGACTGGAAAACCAAGACCTAGAAGGGAACTGGAGCTTGTGAGCACAATGGTGTCTTGCATTCCTGGCCAGAATCCTGCTTATGGAGGGGACCATCACAACCCCATGCTGGCATGGTGAGTGAAAGACCCAAGCCCTCCTCTAGGTCCCCAGAAGTCTGTATTGAATCTCTAGGGAGCTCTGTGACCACCTGCCTTCTCCTGTTCTGAGCTCCCTAAGGACTAGTCCCAGCATCTCTCCTCCTCTCTTCTCACTCCTCCTAAGACTTAGGACCGAAGATCTAGCAGGGTGAGAAACGGACCCCCTGAGTATGGATCACCTAAACCCTCGCAAAACATCTCCTCCGGTCCAGGATCTCCTGTTCACCCAGAGAGGTTTCCAGGCCATCTTCTCCTGCTCTGCCTCCAACTGTCAGAGCTCCCAGCCTCCAGGTAACCATGGTGATCACCAACCTTCACAAAGGCAGTGACGGGAGCCTCAGCAGGCCCATGCTGACCTGCTCTGCTGCAGATGGGGTACCATCTTCCCCAAGCTTCTGTGGAGAGCTGTGGGTGGGCAGATATCCAACATCTATCCCTCACACACCTGCTGCCTGCGTTCAGTCCCTGCTAAGACGGTCTGTCTTCCCTACGCGAGAGCCAGAGCGGGGAAGGAGACGGGGCTTTGAGCCTCCGGCTATGAGAGGAGGGCTTGGGTCGTAAGAGAGCGAGGATGTGGTCCAAGAACATAGTGACCATGTAGGGGGTAGCCAAGAACCAAGGCTTTAGCTCTGAACACCCACCGTGTCCAGTCTTAGCCATGCCTCCAGAAGGGTCCATCCACCATAGGAGGCTAGCACAACTGAACGAGTCGGAGCCTATCATGCAAAAGAAGGGGAAAAAAAAAAACCAAGGGGCATGCTCTAGCTAGCCCAGGCTCCCCTCACCCAAAGACTCCTTACAAAGCCAAATCAGAACATACTGACAAGCCATGGGTGCTTGTCCCCCACCCACCCACCATGCACGCCATCAGCCCCCCCTTTTCAGTTTCTTCAGCCAGTTCTCCAAGCTCTTTCCTACCAGTCTGGCTTCACTTTACTCCTCTGTCTTCCGTCTTCCTATTAAGCACCCCAGAGTTATACAGGCCTCAGGGGGCACCCGAAACTCTAGGCCCAGAAAATGGAGGGGGGGCCTGGGGGTGCTCTGCAAACCCTACCAAATAATAATAATAATAATAATAATAATAATGATTTTCAGGTCCGCTTTATTCTGAGAAATCTTTAAATGGAAAGAGCAAAGGTGAAGAGAGTGAATTTCTCAGGAACATTTCCCTCCTCCCTGCCAAAAGCCTGGCTTCGTGGCCGTCCGCTGTGCTGCCCCGAGAGCCCAGGGCCCGTGATGTAGAACGTCGCGGTGCTCCCTCTAGCGGCCGATGTCCCGCACAGAGTCCTCAGTAGCTCTCCCGCCAGGACCGCGGCAGCCTGCTAAAAGCGACTGCAACACCCGCCCCCAGCTCTACAAGGGAGAAAGACAAGGTATTTTTGCAAAAAAAATGGGCTCCTTCCAGCTAGATCCCGTGCCCTGGGAGAAGACTTCACCCTATTCTACTCTCCCTGGTCAGGCAAGTCACAGATGAGGAAAACTGCCCAGACTGCCTCAAACTGAGCTGTCCACCAAACGCAAACCTCTGAGCGGCTTCGCCAAGCCAAATATCCGTTCTGCCTGCTTGCTTGTTTGTTTGATTTACCCAACATTCACGTCGTCTCTGCACCTCCGTCACCCACAGAGCCGGCGCCTGCTGGAGTCACCTAAGAGTTCTTTAGCGTATTTGCTGTGACTAGAGACAGTTCTGAACACACATTCTTCTCTGGCCGAGCCTCGAGGACGTCCAGTCTGTGCCCACTGGGCAACAGACTGTCTCTACCCTTAACATACCCCTTTGCCACTATGCTGGCCACACACTTCAGCTCAGCTCTTCCAACATAACCACCCCACCTGGCTCACCTCAGGGGCAAGGACCCAAAGGATTTAAATGTAAGACGAGAGAAAAGAGGGAAGATGGAAGGGTATGATCAATTATCCACATCTAATCAAAGTTGGCGGTTAACACAAAGCCGCCCCCCGAACTGCCTGTTCAGTCATGCTGTCATCCGAGAACCAGGCTTCTCTCGCTTTAATTCAATAAATTAATTAATTCGAACAGCTTTATTGAAATATAATTCACATACCATTAGAATTCACCCACTGAAAATATAATTCTGTAGTTTTTAGTATATGCGGAGAGTTGAACATCCATCACCACCATCCATTTTAGAACATTTTCATTACCCCAAATAGAAACCACCACATCCATTAACAGTCACTCGAACTCCAGAGCTCAAGGCTACAAGTAGTCTACTTCCTGTCTACTTCTGACTCTGTGTCATAGGCTGGCATCCTATATGACTGGCTTCTTTCCCGGCACATCTCAGAGTCCATCGGTGTTGAGATACGTGTATCAGCACTTCATTTTTTACTGCTAAATGATACTCTATATTGTGTGGATTAGACAGTACATGCACATTGCTCACACGTTCATCACTTGATATATAATTGGGTTATTTCTACTTTAGGATATTATGAGCCAAATGAATATACAGAATGATGAATAATCTAATGAGGATTTTTTTTATGGTATTAGGAACACACTGATGTTTTCCTTTCTCCCACCAAGAGTAAGAGGCAGTCTGTCATAAAAATGGTCAGGATATGGTAAAATGTTACAGGACATTTGTATTTAATTTTGGGTTTCTCTGTACTAGACAGAGTGTCAAGTATTTTCAGATAACATCTATTTCTAACAGAAAACTTCGTGCTAATTTTTGCGTGACAACCGAGTCCATGTTTATCTTTAAACAGCTGAGGCAAAAAAAAAAAAAGTAAGAAAAAAAAGAATAGGCATGAGAAATGTAAGTGACAAGCTTGCCCATTGTCACCCCCGTGGGGCTGGAGCCGTGTCTAGAATTGGGGTAGCAACGCTGTCTTGTGTTTTCCCTCAGTCTTGGCTCCTCTTCCCAAGTGTCGCCATCACCTGCTTGTCTCTTCCCATGGGCTCAACTCATGACATTGTTTTTGCCACAGTGAAGGAGATACACACGGTGTTGCCCTCATGGATCTCATGGCCAAGGCAGGGAGACAGGCCACGGAGGAATGGACAAGCAGGTCACTCCAGAATGTGGAGGGCTATGAGTAAGGCACAACATCGCTGAGCATGGTCTATCACAGTGGGCAGAGAAGAAATGCCCAGGGAGTGACCCAGACACACCTAAGAAGGAAATGTTGCCAGGGAAGGGATGGTGCTCACTGCAGAGAAGGCCATTAGAAAGCACACGGAGTTCAAACAGATGGAAGCTATTAGAATTCTCCCTTTGAGAATAGAGTTTAGGGCTAAAGGATGTTTGCCTAGCAGGCGTGAGACCCTCAACTCCATCTCCAGCATAGAAGAGGAGGTGGGAGGGAGGTGGGGCAGTATAGCCAAGAACAAGCCACTGAGAAGGGAAAGTGGGGGGAAGGAAGGAAACAGAGGACAGGGTCCCAGAGATACTCGAGAGCCTTAGAGATCTGGACACAGAATTCAGGTATTATTCTAAGTGTGACAGGAATTCAACGGCGAGTGTTGGCAAGGTGAGTGATCTGGTGTAACTTCAGTTTTAAGAAGGCTTCCATGTAGCGAATGAACGAGGAGGCAGATTCCTGAAGCAGAATCAACAGAACGTGTTGGCCTATGCCCGTAATGCCAGCACTTGAGAGATGGAGGCTAGAGGAGGCTGGCTTCAGCTACAATGGGAACTCTGAGGCCAGACTGGATACATGAGACTCAGTCTCAATAAAGTAAAGGAAAAGGGAAAAAATGTAGCGAAAGGACTGATGGATGAATGCTTTATTGGGCCTGAGGGAATGGGGGAGAAGCAGGATGGAAGGGTCCCAGGAGGCTTCTAGATTCTGTCCTGAGGAGCACCAGCCCTTGGGGTGAGAAGAAGGGAGGAGGGATGATTTGAGGAGATGTCCAGAGTTCTGTTCACAGAGACAGAACAGAGATGATTGCTTTAAGACCCGGCGTGGAAACCATGAGGAGACTCCAAGCAGGTGGCTGCATGCAAGAGACTGTAATACTGAGAGGAAGCCCTCCAGGAGAGGGACTTGAGTGTGGGTGGAGGTGGGGGTCAGGGGAAGGTGGGAAGTCGGGATGAAGCAAACATTTTTTAGGCATGGGTACAGATGAGATTTCCCCCCAGGAGAGATCACCACATTTCTGTAGCTTTTTCTACATTTTCCATACTGTACCTCTCAGGTACCAAAGCATTAAGCCAACTTCCATCCATTTAGTATGGGGAGGGGGCGCACAAGGGACTCACAGATGAGTCTGGTTATTTGATGCTGTGTAAATCGCACAGTAAGTTTCTCTTCCGCCAGTCTTTTGAGACGTGTCTTTCAATACAGGATACATAGTCACATTCCCTGGCCAAATGATAGTAAAATGGGGAGTTGGCAGATGGCCTGACTCCAGACAGCATGTAGGCTAGCCCCCAACATGGTGGAGGAAAATGTCCTATCATAGTTAGATGGCATTTCCACAGGTTACCACAGCAACAGAGAACTTATCGCAACACAACCATGGCTAACCAGCAGTGCAGATCAGGATGACACATTGGAGACAATGAGACAACAAGAGACTAGAATTCTGTGTGTCCATACTCCATCATGAAAAAGAAAACAGGTCCAGCCAATTCTGACCACACACTCACCACCACCACGGTCATCGTCATCATCATCGTCATCGTCTTCGTCTTCGTCATTGCCATTATTTGATCTTGTACCAGAAGAGATGCGCTGTATTTTCTAAATGCTATGGGAAAATTCCAAGTTCTTCTTTTCCAAAAGAATCATTGTTTGCCCGGGTCCCACTGAGGAAAGATGGTATACTGTTATATTTCTGAGACATGGTCACAGTCTTTTCATCATTTTCCCAGAAAAATCTGGGTAAAAAGAGAAGATTTCTCAAGAGTCTCCATCCAGAGATAAAGCAACTGTACCTTTACTGTCATAAGCAGGGTGACTCGGTCTCCTCTCAGCCACAGGGACCCTCCATGGGAGGGAGGGAGGCAGTAAGAACAGGCTGAGCGGAGGGAGAAAGAATTAGCCGGGAATCACGTTCCAATTTGGCTTTGTCCAATCAGTCTTTGAATGATGAGGGTGATTCAGATATAAAGGAACTAGTGTCAGTTGGGTTTTAGTTTATGGAGGGACAGGAAGATGCCATCCATCACCCACCTGTCGGTTATTGATCGCCGTGATGGACCGAGACCCAAGGTGGATGACACTGGAACAGGGGAGAGAGAAATGTGATGGCCTCATCATTAGGAAATCAAAGAACCCTAGAAGTGAAGGAAGGCCCAAGTCCAGTGACGAGTGGACAGTGGAGCCCACTGCATGGGCTAAAAGCTCAGTCCTTCTGGATCCAGAATAGTAAGTAGGACACTGCATTGAGGGCTGAGATTACAACTTCTAGGGCAGTGGGAGCCGCCCTGAGGAGAGAACACATGGACTTGGAAGGCATCTTTAAGATGCACTCGGAAAAATGAGAGCTGGCTTGTAACTAGAGTTTTCCTGCCTTGCCCACAGTCAGGACAAATCTTTGTCACCTGCCAGTCCCACAGCCGCTCAGAGCCAACCAAGTAAACACAGAGACTTATATTGCTTACAAACTGTATGGCCGTGGCAGGCTTCTTGCTAACTGTTCTTACAACTTAAATTAATCCATTTCCTTAAATCTATACCTTGCTACGTGGCTCGTGGCTTACCGGCATCTTCACATGCTGCTTGTCATGGTGGTGGCTGGCAGTGACTCCTTCCACCTTCCTGTTTTTTCTTTTCTCCTCTCTGTTAGTCCCGCCTATACTTCCTGCCTGGTCACTGGCCAATCAGTGTTTTATTTATTGACCAATCAGAGTAATTTGACATACAGACCATCCCACAGCAGTGGCTCCCCACCATCAGGGAAGGGATTACAACATAGTTCTAAAACCTTTGAACTCCACAGCTGGAAGGAGGGGTGGGGTTTGGGAAAACATCAGGAAAATCAGCACGGGTAGAACAGAAAGCAAGGGAGCCCGGAAGGCCAAGTGACTAGGGGAGTTCCCAGGGGAGAGACCAAAAAGAGATCTGCATTCCGATGGGGGTCTAATAGCTGATTTCATTCTGGGGTCCACTCTGACCTCCAGGAGCTCCACAGTGGCCACAGCACGCCCTGTTCTAACTCCACATTCTCCCTTCAATCCAGGAGGGTGGCCATTGCTGGTCTGAACAGTGATGTAATTTGTTAGAAGACTTACCTGGCCCTCTGGGGCTAAACTCTGTATATACAAGCGCCAAGGATGGGGGAAGGAGGTGAACAGATTTGTGTTTCTATCTCAAAGTAAAACGCGATCCCCTCTGCTGGCCCCCGCAACCCAAACTTCCCCAGGATAACAGATTCTTATAAAGCCACTGCTTTTATACCACCCACGATTCATATTTATTTTTGAAGACCATAAAGAGTTCACAGGTTACAGGGCACAGACAACCCCTGGGGCTATTTGCTTGCTGAAGGCTTGACCCAGAATGAGCAAAAACTTGTTGTTTTGTCTTTAAAATGTATCTAAAGAGGACACTTTGAGAATTTTCTTGTTTGGATGCATACAAAGAGACACACAGACATTAAGACAGTAATTGTAAAACCTTCTACATACGTCAAAATTCTACTCGGCATACTCTCAAGCACAATTGGGGGCAGACATTTCTATATTAAGTGGGCTAAACCCATAAGGAAACTGGAGCTGGAAGGTCTGTGGCCTTGGGTTATTCAGGACGTTTGGCTACAAACGTGTGAACATGTGGGCATTCTGTGAACATGTGGGCAGGGAGATGCACCAGCCAGCAAGGTCTGGGGCTACAGGAAACACATTCAAAGGTAACCAAATGACCATGTCCAAGGGGCTCTTCCATCCATGCTGTCAATGACATTACAAAATACCATGGCATTTGGGAAATGACTTTGGGAACAAAAGGGAAATTACATTTTGGAAATTAAATCTCACTAAACCGGTTTTTTCTTTCTTTTTTTGGGGGGGGGGTTCTTTTTTTTTTTTCCTTTGCCCTGCATCCCTCTGCTGCTCTAAAGGC